CTGTGCAGTTTATAATTTGTATGGCCGTAGTCCAGTCACTTCTGGGCCTATTTCCTGTCTATAAAGTTGGAAATAATATCCTTCTTCCTTGGTTTTATTGAGATTAAACAAGTGAATAGCTGCAAAGCCCCCAAAGTGAACGAGAGATGGTTAACATTTTTTTTTTTTAATTTTGAGACAGTGTCTCATGGTCTCCCTGGATAGAGTGCTGTGGCATCATCATAGCTCACAGCAACCTGACTCTTGCATTAAGCAATCCTCTTGCCTCAGCCTCTCAAGTAGCTGAGTCTACAGGCACCTGCCACTATGCCCACTTGGTAGAGATGGGGGTCTCACTCCAGCTCAGGCTGGTCTTGAACTCCTGAGCTCAAGCAATCCACCTGCCTCAGTCTCCTAAAGTGCTAGGATTACAGGTGTGAGCCACTTTGGCTGACATGTTCAACATTTCATTAACTTCCTCTCCAAATCTGTGTATATACATGTATAATATATATGCTAGTTTGAATATATTAATAAACCACAATGACATATTTTTCAAACTAGCCACTTTTCATATAATATCATGACCATCTTTCCTTACCTCTAAGTAAACTTCTCCATTATTTGACAGCTGCCGAAACCTCCATGATGTGCTGATGTGAGTGGAACTGAATCCATATTGTTGGGTGCACAGATTTTCAGTTTTGTACTAACATTAGCACATTTGGAAAAAATTTTGAGTAGTGGTGCCTTGAATGGTGTTTGTCTGGGTGACAAGAGCTTCTGTCTCTTTTCAGGGCACGTCTAATCCTTCCTGCCCTCGTGGGAATAAGGATCAGAAAATGCTCCCTTTGGAATTTAGAAGCTGCCTTAACTCTGAGGCAGCACTGTGAACTTTCCGTATGCCAGCCCTAAGGGGGGAGCTCAGGCAGATCCCCTCACTCTTTAAGCTAGAAAAATGACATTTCTGCATTTAATCTTTAATACGAGGTATCTCATGTTCCTCAAGAAATCAGAAGGTAGTCTTCTTCCATTCTTGCTAAGTCTGAGGTGTTCTGTAAGCAGTCTGTCCGTAAAAAGGGCTTTTTTGTTGTTGTTGAGACAGAGTCTCAAGCTGTCACCCTTGGTAGAGTGCTGTGGTGTCACAGCTCACAGCAACCTCAAACTCTTGGGCTTACGTGATTCTCTTGCCTCAGCCTCCCCAGCAGCTGAGACTACAGGCACCTACCACAATGCCTGGTTATTTTTTTTTGCAGTTGTCACTGTTGTTTAGCAGGCCCAGGCCAGGATCAAACCTACCAACCTTGGTGTATGTGGCTGGAGCCCTGTTCACTGAGCTACGGGCACTGAGCCCTTATAAAGGGCTTTTAAAAGTACAGCCCAGCTCCTGCATCCTGGGGTGGACCCCTAAATCCTTCTCTGTAGTGGACAACAGCAGTCACTTCTGTACCATGCTAGGCATCTTAAGAGTGTCTGGTGACATGCTTACTTGATTTATTTTGTTGATGTAAATTCTTCTGCGGGTTTCAGATTGGAAACCATTGATTAGTTCCCTCTCTTTCTTCTCCCCATCTCTCTGCTGTCTTTCTTCCCTAACAAACCAATAGGTCATGTTTGAAGACCCTGTTCTTGGCTGTCCACCCCCCACCTTCAGGTGCATTATATCTGCAGGGATGTACTTGTCATCAGGCCGGAGCTCTAGGAGGGACCACAGAGGTTTTGAGGGTCAGTTGTCTCTTGTGGGATACCCCTGTTAAAAAGCTGATGGTTTTTATTTATTTTTTATTTTTTAGAGACAGAGTTTCATTATGTTGCCCTCAGTAGAGTGCTATGACGTCACAGCTCACAGCAATCTCCAACTCTTGGGCTTAGGTGATTCTCTTGCCTCAGCCTCCCAAGTACCTGGGCCTATAGGAGCCCGCCCCAACGCCCTGCTATTGTTTTTGTTGTTGCAGTTTGGCTGGGGCCAGTTTTGAACCCACCACCCTCCGTATATGGGGCTGGCACCCTACCCACTGAGCCACAGGCGCCACTCAAAAGCTGATGGTTTTAATGAGATTTTTCTCCTGAACTCAGTGTTGGGAGACTTGCATTTCAGGTAGTATAAGTTCCACAGAACATTCCACAGGAGCTCGGCTGCATTTCAGGACATGTTGACTAACCCACCTCAGACACAGATGTTTAAGAGAGGAGCTCAGTTCTTCCCTCCCATCTAGCTGATATATCGTCATCCCTCAGAAAGAATCTAATATGCTATTTAGGGTGATTTGTCTGCCAAAATTACAGAGGCGCTGGGGTGTCTTTGAGGAGTGCTGGAATGACATCAGGACTTTAAAAGAGGAATAACGTGTACATTCTTTATTTGTTTGTACAGTTCAAAGCATCAATTACTCCTTGCAGTATTTTCCAAAGTGCTTTTTAATTAGTTTCCTTCTGACACCCTCCCTGTGAGAAAGGTTAAGTAGCATTACCCTCCTTCTACTGATGGGGAGGCAGAAACAATGAGAGGTTAATTGGCTTGCCTTGGGCTCTGCAGTGACGCCAACCCAGCCGGAATTTCCGCTGCTTGTAACTCCCGCTTTCCACTTTCCAGCTTGGTAGAGCCAGGGCTGCCTCAGGGCAGGAAAAGCTCCCAACCAACAAAAAGGGCATTTTGCTCAGCCATATTCTTGCAGTCCTGTTTGGGGGGCTGCTGAGGCAGAGAAAGAAATGGTCTCTTGGCTTGGTGCCTGTAGCACAGTGGTTATGGCGCTGGCCACATGCACCAAGGCTGGCAGGTTTAACCTGGCCAGGGCCAGCTAAACAACAATGACAACTGCAACAAAAATATAGTTGGGTGTGGGTGGCGCCTGTGGCTCAAAGGAGTAGGGCGCTGACCCCATATGCCGAAGGTGGCGGGTTCAAACCCAGCCCTGGCCAAAAATTGCAAAAAAAGAAAACATTAAAATACATATATAGCTGGGTATTGTGGCAGGTGCCTGTAGTCACAGCTACTTGGGAGGCTGAGGCAAGAGAATCACTTAAGCCCAAGAGTTTAAGGTTGCTGTGAGCTGTGATGCTACAGCTCTCTACCCAGGGTGACAGCTTGAGACTCTGTCTCTAAAAAAATAAAAAGAAATGGTCTCTTAATAGCCCAAGACCCTCAACCTAGAAACGGTTTCGCTGCCTTGAGATAAGCTGTAGGAGTGATGGATGGGAGAAATAAATTATTTTTGGCTCAACTGCTCCATCTTGGCAGGGGGCCTTTTAAATTTTAAATGTAAACCTGACATCTACAAGACATCTACAAAAGGTTTTGGAATCTGATGTCACTTTCTCCCTACAGTTCACAGGTTGTCTTTTTCTGTGAAGGGGTTACCAGTTATCCCTGGCGCACATATCTGTGTTCTCTCTGATTCAGATAATGTAAAATATGTAAGTAGGAGTAGAGAGATGACTTCTAGTATAGAAGGTCCCTGCATCTCTTCCTGCCCCCAGCAGACCCAAGCTTGAATCTTGGCTCACTGCTCCCAAGAAGGAGTCAGTGATACTCTGATGACCTGGTCTTAGAAAAGAAGTTACCATACTTAATGCTTCTCTTATTCCTGAATGGACTTTGTACATTTTCCTCTGGCTCGTAAAGGCCCACACAAAATTAGCCAAAATACAGGGTTGCATACGAACTCTGTGGACACCCTGTACTTATAAGATTGCTGTGAGTTCAAGAAGAGTAAGGAAAACATGGAGCTTTGAGCCAGCATAATTGGTTTAAATTCCCCTCTGTACTGCTTCTGGGCTCTGTATCCTCAGGCTAGTGGGGTCTTCTGTTTAAGCCTCAAGTTTTTTCAGCTGTAGAAATGACAATAGCTACTTCTTAGGGTGGAAAGCTGAGCAGGTGCTCTGCATGGGATGAGGACAGAATTTCCTTAGACCAGTGATTTTTAACCTGTGAGAGGATCTTCAGTGTGCCACAAAAATTTTTAAAGATTATTTTTGAAAGAAGTTCAAAGTGAAGTATATTCTTTTTCTTACTCTTTTGTTTGATCAACATGATTTAAATGTGCTGTAGGAGCCTAACCGAAGGTTCAAATGAGCCCTGAGATAAAACCAGTTGAAAAACACTACTCTAGACCAAGATTAGGATATAAAAATACAGACTTTATTTTATCTTAGAAAGGAAAAGGGAGAGAAAGAGGAAAGAGTGGGGAAAGAGAGAAAAGAGCAGGGAGATGGCCGGACATCCCAAAGAAAGGAAGGAAGAATGCCCACTGTAGTGGTCAAGGGGCAGCTGTGTTTAAGGGGGGCAAAGAGGAAAAAAGGTCACTGTAGCCAGATTCACGAGGTATTGTGGGTGTGAATGCTGTGTCTGTTTTTCTGCTGGCAAGTTGTAGACAGACTTTTTACAGGTGTTTCCAATCCAAGCCAGTTGTTCATCAGGACACTCTGGAACCCTTGGGTTACAGAAACAGTCTGGAAGACTGAGAGCTGATGACGTGTAAAGAGAAAAAGCTTACACTTCCTTTCTATCTGCTGTTTGCAGTGCTTTGTGGGAAGGGAGGTGGGGGGTGTTGGGGTGTTGCTAGACTGAGAAAGCAGACTGAGATATTGATTTTAGTCCTTACCGAAAAAACCATGAGTTATAATTTCTCTATCATTTCACTATAAAGACTAACCATCCTTACACTACCTCACTGTTAAACCATAAAACCAGGGCGGTGCCTGTGGCTCAAAGGAGTAGGGCACTGGCCCCATATGCCAGAGGTGGCAGGTTCAAACCCCCCCCCCCAAACCATAAAACCACATTATTAGACATCCACTTCTCAGACAGAAGTAGATCAAGTTTGGTCCAGAGTTGGCATCAGAATGGGGGGGGCTGCCACTGTCCCTTTGCCACCAAGACCACCCTCTTTTGCATTTGGTTGTTTAACCTTAAAATGGGGGCTGGGAGGGCAGAGTGGAACGCTATACATTTTCTCAGGAAATCAAGGCTAGACGTGGGATGAGGCCTGACTGACATGACCTCTTTGTTTTGTCTGAAGCAGGGATCCCTGGTCGCCTCCCTTGCCCTTCTCTTCCCGGATGGAACAAGATCATCATCAGGGTCTGTATGAATGCCGAGACTCAGAAGACAAAGGGATGGGCTCTGATTTTGAGAACACTGAGGACAAGGAGGGGGACCCAGAAGAAGGAGAAATGGGCTTTCATTCAGAGGACACAGACAAGAGAGAAGGCCATCCAGAGATGGAGATGGGCTCCAACCCACAGGACTCCAGGGACAGAGAAACAGTGCCAGATGTCTGCACCGGTGAGGAGAAAATGGAATTTCTGCGAAAGTTGCCCCATTCATATTTACTTCTCCCTCCTCCAGAGTCATAACCAGGGGTAGCAGTGTCTACGGGGAGCTCTCTAGAGGAGACCATTAGGCAGATTCTGTAGTAACTTGGCTTTTCTAGTGTAGGTCCCTTGGAGCATCCTCCTCCTCAGTGTAATCTGAGGGGGCTGCATTAGTATGTGTGGAAAGGGTCACTCGGTGGCACAGCACTTTAAAGCACAGAGAATGCTGCTATAAATTAACACCTGTAACAGCCCAACAGTGGAATTACCCAGGTAGTGTTAGAGCCCATCTCCTAGGGTGGCTGGGAGAGTTGAGCTCTTGCAAATAATGTGTTACTTAGGCTGGGTGCTGAGGCTCACCCTGTAAATCCAAGCACTTAGGGAGGCTGAGCTGGGAGGATCACCAGAGGCCAGGAGTTGAGACCAGCCAGCCTGGGCAACATAATGAGACCCTGTCTCTACAAAAAGTTATTTAAAAAAAAAAAAAAGCCAGGTGTAGTAGCACACACCTGTAATCTTAGTTACTGGTGGGGCTGAAGCAGGAGGATTGCTTGAGCCTAAGAGTTGGAGGCTGTAGTGAGCTATGATTGCACCACTGTACTCAGCCCAGGTGAAAGAGAGCAAGACTCTGTCTCTGATTTTTTTTCTGAGACAAAGTCTCACTATGTTGCCCTCAGTAGGTAGAGTGCTTTGGTGTCACAGCTGATAGCAACCTTAAACTGTTGGCCTTAAGTGATTCTCTTGCCTCAGCCTCCCAAGTAGCTGGGACTACAGGCGCCCGCCAAAACACTTGGCTATTTTTGTTGTTGTTGTCATTGTTGTTTGGCAGACCTGGGCTGGGTTCGAACCCATCAGCCCTGGTGTATGTGGCTGGTCCTGTCTGATTTTTTTAAACAAAGTTACTTAGTACACTGCAAGGTTAAAAAAAAAAATCTAGAAATTTACAGTTATAGTCCTCATCTGCCTTTGGAGATAAGTAAACTCATTAAGTGACATGCCTGGGTTCATGTGGCTAATTTCCAAAATGCACAAGGCCTCTGTTAAATCTCTTGCTATTCCTGACCCTATGAGTGAATGCTGGGCCTCCGCCCACCTCCTTGTTTCTGTCTTTGGTATGCATTGCTTTGCCCTGATCAGTGCCTGCTCTGGGGACAGAGGTAAAGACCTGAAATACTTTATGGTGGGGACTGTGAGGTTACCTCGTCCTCCTCACTCCAGCCCCAGAATCCCACCTCCCTGCTGGCCTCCCCCACGGTGCTCGCAAGCCTGTGAGCTCCACATCACAGCCACTTCTTGGAGTGGGATGAGCTTCCGGAGCCCCACAGATGCGGGTCCTGGGCTGCCTCTAACCCGGGTCCTAGGCTTCGTGCTCCCTTCCCCCATCCACAGTAAAGTCCAAAAGGTGAGTTCCCTTTGTCATTTTGTCCACAGACTAAACATATTTTAAAAATCAGTCAGGACATGGCGAGGTCATACGGTCTATTCTTGTGACTGGCCACCCCGGCCTTGTCTTGAGGCAAGGGCCTTCAAAGGCAGCGGAAGCTCTTGGAGCGAGTGAGCCTCAGAGATCTCATGGAGTCCCACCTGGCACAGCTGTTTCTCCAGCACAAACCCTCAGGCCTCCTGATGGCTCCGTTAGGCAGTGACTCAGGCCCCAGCAACTGCCTGAAGGATTGGTGGGCAAAAGAGGCTAGTGAGTGGACGCTCCCTGGAGGAGCCAGGCGGGAGGGAGGCCGGGATCTGGGGGATTTGGAAGGGTGGGTAGGAGGACGAATCTCTGGCCTCCACTCTTGTTCCTGAGACTGGCTTCCTCGGGGCTTACCTTTTGAGTGCCAAGTACCCTTCACGGCCGGCTTTTCTGTTGCAGAGAGGCTGCTAAATGACGGAGAAGGGGTTGCTCTCCAGGAGGAAGAGGAGGACCAAGCTCCTGATATGGGGATGTTCCCGGGACTTTCCGAGTCAGACTGCATATCCCGGAGCCCCCGGGAAGAGGAGGAGGAGGAAGAGCAGCCGCCCCCTCCGGTACTGCCCTGGAGGCGACACCTGTCCCTGGGCAGTCGGCACCGGGGGGACAAACCTGCCCACCGCCGCTTCCACCGGCTCCACCACCCCATGGCTGTGGACCTCGGTGAGCTCGACAGCCTGGTGGCCAGCATCATGGACGCGCCCACCATCTGCCCGGACTGCGGGGAGAGCTTCAGCCCGGGCGCCGCCTTCCTGCAGCACCAGCGCATCCACCGCCTGGCGGAGGCGGCCGCCGCGGCCAGCCTGGAACCGTTCGGCCTGGCGGGCGAGTGCGGCGCTGTGGTGGGGGTGGTGGGCGTGGCGGGCGGCTTCGGGACGGGCCCCGCGCTGGCCCGGCCGCCCCGGGAGAAGCCCTTCCGCTGCGGGGAGTGTGGCAAGGGCTTTAGCCGTAACACCTACCTGAGCAACCACCTGCGCCTGCACACGGGCGAGCGGCCCAACCTGTGCGCCGACTGCGGCAAGAGCTTCAGCTGGCGCGCAGACCTGCTCAAGCACCGGCGGCTGCACACGGGCGAGAAGCCCTACCCGTGCCCCGAGTGCGGGGAGGCCTTCAGCCTCAGCTCGCACCTGCTGAGCCACCGGCGCGCGCACGCGGCGGCCAGCGGCGCGGGGGCGGCGGCGCTGCGGCCCTTCGCCTGCGGCGAGTGCGGCAAGGGCTTCTGCTGGCGCTCGGACCTGGTGAAGCACCAGCGCGTGCACACGGGCGAGAAGCCCTACATGTGCTCCGAGTGCGGGGAGACCTTCAGCGTCAGCTCGCACCTCTTCACGCACAAGCGCACGCACTCGGGCGAGCGGCCCTACGTGTGCCGGGAGTGCGGCAAGGGCTTCGGGCGCAACTCGCACCTGGTGAACCACCTGCGCGTGCACACCGGCGAGAAGCCCTTCCGCTGCGGCCAGTGCGACAAGCGCTTCAGCGACTTCTCCACGCTCACGCAGCACCAGCGCACGCACACCGGCGAGAAGCCCTACACGTGCATCGAGTGCGGCAAGAGCTTCATTCAGAGCTCACACCTGATCCGCCACCGCCGCATCCACACCGGCAACAAGCCGCACAAATGCGCCGGCTGCGGCAAAGGCTTCCGCTACAAGACGCACCTCGCGCAGCACCAGAAGCTTCACCTGTGCTAGGGCTCGGTCTGCGGGCACCTGCCCTTCAGGGAGCATGCGCAGGGTGGATGTCCTGGGCAGACCCCAGCGGGAAGGGACGGGGCCTCTTGATGCCAGGGGCTCTGGAGGGGAGTGGCTGCTGTGTTTTGCCTGCCTCCTCTCGGTGGAGAAGAACTTTTGGGAGATGTGCTTGAGATGATGGCTTCCTGAAGTCCCTCTGTAGGAGTGAAGATGGGAGGAGTAGGGGCATTGAGGACCTTGAAGAAGAGGGAGTTGGTGGCGGGCAGTAGAGCAGGGTGGGCTGCGATGGCCTGTGGGAATCAGAGGAGAGGGTAGGTTTGAAGTGAGGGTTATGCATAAAATAAAGCATGGGTGTGAGTAATTCTATCCCTGGTCGCCAGGTGGTAAGCCAGTGTTTGCCCTGACCCCACACATCACATCAACTGTAGTCCTAGAAGTAGGAGAACCTTGTCAGTCCCATAGGAGACGATATTTACTTTACTCTTCCCTCTCTCTGAGCCACAGTTAGCTGCTATTTTGAGGTATCCAGGGGAAACTGGGCAGAAAACGACACATCCTCATTTCAGGGGACAACGGCTAACATTTAGAAAGGCACGTGTGACTGGTTCTTGGATCTTCTGGGTAGTCTTGGTCCTACTCCCGGTTCTTTGCTACTTTGAAAACACTCTGGCTTCATGCTGGGGCAAGGTGTCCACCGAATGACCAGCCTCCTCCCCTCTTCGCCCATCCCTGGTGTGTGCCATACCCAGTGTTTCTGTCACGTCTCCCCTGTGAAATTTTAAGTGCAGGGAAAAGGAACCATCCCGGCTATGTGTGACTTTCCCTTTCTCGGGTCAGTTTGGTGCCTGAATTTCAAGTGAATTTCAGGCCATCAATAGTTACCCTGGTGACCTGCTAGAAAAAACAACTAGCTCAAAGTTTTGCTGGCCTGTGTGTGAGAGATCCAGGAAAAAACAAGCGTTTAAGTGATACGAGGCTCTTTTGTTTCATTTGCCTTCACTTCGCGTCTGCGTACCCTGTCCCCTGCTGACTCCCACTTCCATCCATATCTATGAAGGATTTAGTCCAGTAGGAATGGCTCCTTCCTACATGTGAAGGCACAGTGGAAATCTCAAGGCTTTACACCAGAGGGCACAGGCAGCGAGAGGTGTAAATGCAAAATTGCCAAATAGCACAAGTGATGAATGTTCTCTGGTGGTTACATAGATGCCAAAATCACACTTTGGTGTTTGCAAGGTGCTTTATGCTTTTTAATGATTGTTAGTGTTCCTCACAGCGTTGTGAGGTCAGTCAGTATTATGACCCCTGTCTTGGGGAAGGCCTGGGGACAGCGTGGCAAGCTGCCCTGGAGAGAGGAGGCTGATGACAGTGTGAATAGTTGTGGTCTGACCTTTTGCTTTCTCCAGCTCAGCTGCTAGGAAGACTTACCTGTCAGTCATGATTTATATAATAAAATAAGGGCACTGAAAATCGTTATGCTTGATGGAACACTTAAAGCTAGTCTAGAAGGGCCAGATATGTCCTTAATTGACAAAGCTGGTCTTTGTCACCTAATTAGGGTATCCCAGCTATGTTCCCATTCTAGTAGGGGGGTGTAGTTAGATGACTCTTGTATAGATTTCAGTTACCTGTGCTCAAAGTTCCTCCCTTAGCTTAGCCTTTAGGAGTTAGAGTTGTGGAAAGCAGTATTGTTTTCTTCACTAGCAATTGTTACCCTGTATCTTTCATGGAAGCATCTTCACAAACTGTTGGACACAGTTGAAGGGGGAAAGAAAAACCCTAAAAATTATTTTTACGGTTTTAGCAAAATTTCTGTGGATGCTAGTAATTTATCCGTGATCCATTGTATTCTAGTAAAGAACCTCTTTGGTGACTGTAGGAAAGCATGTTTTTGTCGTAATAAAAACAATTTTTTAAAAATCTTGATAATTCTGGGCTTGTATAATGCCTTGTTCATCTTGCCCTCTTAATCCGTTTATTGTTATTCACAAATGCAATAGATTTTCAAACTATGGACAATTTTGAAAGACATGATTCTTTTTCATTCTCTTTTAGTCAAGAGTAATACAAGCAAAGCAAATGTCCATTGTGAATTCTGACTCTTGTAGTCTGAATACCAAGTATATAAAAAACATTTGAAAATAGTGCAGCCGATTTGTAGGTGATCTTACTCCACTGGATTTTTTCCATGCACATCTACCTCCTCCAGCTGTTTTAAGTTCCCTCAAGTCTGTGCCTCTGAAATCTCCTGCAATGTTTGATTATTCCCAGGTTGATTATCCACTTTGTATTAAGGCCACTTGGTCTTTTGCTGCCATCATTATGCACCGTCTCGTGTTCATCAAATATGCTACATACCAGCAACTTTAGAGAAAGGGCTCAACAAGGAGTGGAGACTGAAGCTAGTATAAAATGCTGTAGTTCCTGTGGAAATGGACTTCATTTACCTCTGGTTTTTGCTATTACAGATAAGAGAGTCAGCCAATATGTTGGTATTCCTTCTAGGACACATCTCTTGGCAGAAGAAAACAGTTCAACCATCAACAGCCCACTCTACTGGGACATTTGGAATGTGATTCTGTTTTTCTTAAAATTCTTTAGGGAACATATCTGCAGTAAGCAAGGTTAAAGGCATTCAGGAGGTTGTTTCTTGGATCTAGTTTTAGAATAATAGTACATCTTCAGCAAACCCTGTTAACTGTGGTCTACCCTTGAAAGTGTTAATCGGAAGACTCCTTCCACCAACTCGTGAATGGTGGTGGAGGCAAGTGTATTTTTTGTTTCCTGGAGAGTTTGGTCAAGAGCAGTCTTCCTCTGCTGCCCTTTACTACCAAAACATGGAGCAGTTTAAATAGGCCAAATGGTTTTGATGAGATCTCGAGCTCTGAGTTGGAAGGAGAAGCTGAGACGTTGACCCCTTGAGCCATGTCGTCTCTGTACAACCAAGAGTCTGTACATATGTGAATAATGACAAATTACAAACCTGTGTTCACAGACAATCTGAACTGTTTCTGAAGTTTGTGCACATTTTCCTTCACTATAATATTATTTTACAGCTGTTTGTTAAAATAGTGAATAATTTAATGATCCTAAAAGTAACAGGTTTTGTGTGTGTGCTTGTGTACGTGAGAATTGCCTTATTTTCAGGTCGTTTAATTTAATGATGATAACTTGGACAGCATTCTGCTATTCAACAACCAATATGGAATATTTGTCATTAAATCCAAATCAGTCTTTTGCCATGTCCTTCTTTCTTATTTATCCCATATTAAATGTCAGCTTGATCTGTGGAAGCGATGTTCCGGTAGGACAAGTGTTGGCAAACTACCAAATTTGGTCTGCTTTCTTTTTGTTGATAAAGTTTTTATTGAACTGGGCATGTTAGTATGTGCCTGTACTCCCAGCTACTTGGGAGGCCGAGGTGGCAGGATAGCTTGAGTCCTGGAGTTCGAGATCAGCCTGAGGGCCTAACCAGACACTGTCTCAAAAAATGAATTAATTAAATATGTTTTCTAAATTCTATTGGAATGAGTTGTACCCATACAACCATGTTTACATATTGTTTATGGCTACTTTTATGCTACAATGGCAAAGGTGAGTAGTTGTTACAGAGGCTATATGGCCCATATCCTAAGATATTTAGTATCTAGACCTTTATAGAAAACGTGTGCTGCATCCCGTACAAGAATGTTCAGGTGGGCCCTAGATTGGATAATGTTCAGGTGGGTCCAGAATTGTAATTGGCTGATGGCTGATGTCTAAATGGTCTCCCATTCCTACCAGTAATTGAGGACAGCACTTGTAAACTGTGTGATTGTGAGACACTGGGAATGTGTTCATGCCATACCTGGTATACACTGGTATCATTTTCCAAAGATCTGTGTCCTCATTCCTTATCAATCTGCAGGGAGGACTTTCGGGGGTGGTCAGGGGCAGGTGGTTATGGAGAAGAGAGGCAGTTCCTTATCTAATCTATAAAAAATGTATTATTAAGTCATAACAGTATTTTCTTTCCCCATTCTCAGAAATGTAACTTAATGGTCACTGATAATACCGAACGGGACTCACCAGTTAGACTGGCCTTTTGCTCAGAATATTTTTGTCTCTGCCCAACCTCATAGAAACAGTAATTTCTGAGGAAGGGTTTATCAAGACATAAAAAAGAGGAAGCACCTTATTTTCTTTTCGTGGTCCCAACTAACCCTTGTTTGAATGCCAGGAAGCTTTTTCCTACCTAGCAGGGCTGTACAAATGCTCCGCCCTAGTCCTGGAAGGAGGCAGTAATGGTGATGTGCTCATGACATTCCTCACCTAGCCTAACTATTCTGGCTCAAAGTGTCTACTGGACTAGCTCCTGGTCCCACAGTCAGCTCCTGTGAAAGCTGTATCAAACCACCTACATTAATATAGGTCAACTCTTATTAAATGAGTGCAGTAGGAAATCTGGTCCTCTGGCCTATAAGGGTTGCCCAGCCTGAATTCACGATTAAGAGTGGCCTCTGCCCACATCCTACTTAGAGAAACTGGTCAACGTGGAATTCTTGAGGTTGGGTTAGTTTAGACTAGAGACTTTCTTAACCCTGGAAAGGTTTTTTTTTTTTAAAAGAAGTTCAGGGCAGGCCAGGCATGGTAGCTCATGCCTGTTATCCTAGCACTCTGGGAGGCCAAGGTGGGTGGATTGCCTGAGCTAAGGAGTTTGAGACCAATCTAAGCAAGAGTGAGACCCTATCTACTAAAAATAAAAAATTTAGACTGTAGTCCCAGCTACTTGGGAGGCTGAGGCAAGAAGATCGCTTGAGCCCCAAAACTTGAGGTTGCTGTGAGCTATGATGATGCCACAGCACTCTACCTAGGGCAATGGAGTGAGACTCTGTCTCAAAAAAAAAAAAAAAGGAAGAAAAAAGAAATACAGAGATTGATTAACTTACTTGAGGCCTAAGTACTTGGAATTTTATAAAAGCTCCCCAGACAATTTTGATGGGCATACAAGTTGAGAACTGTAGGACCTCCTTTCTTTCCTGGGGCATCCACTAAGTATATAATCCTCAAATTCTCCTCTCCCTAGGGGTCCAAAGGCAGACAGCATTGTGACAGTGCAGCAAGCTTTGCTGCCTGTCTTGGCAACCCCACCTTTCACTCACAGCTTCTCCGAATAGTTGCCATAACATAAGCAAGGGCCAGAGTGGTGCCTGTCTTCAGCTTTTCAGCAGATGATGCTGGAATGGGCACAAAGCGCTGCCTCTGGCCCTTCTCTGCCTCGTGGCAGGCCGTCTTCCCTACTCTCTGATCTCCCTGTGCTCAGCTCACTCACCAAAGCAACGTTCCATACTCTACTTGTTTTTTCAGCTGCCCATGGCTTTGCCCCCGTGGGGAGAGGGCGGGAGACACCTCACCAGTGTTTGGCTCTTGTGTTTTCCCTTTCGAGCCCTGAGTGCCCTACAGATTACAGCTCCCTGTGCCAGCCTGTGTTTTCAAGGTCATCTCTGCTAACCCAAAGTACATTCCAGTGGTTTTCAATTTCCAGCTGCCCCCATGGGATCCAGGCCACTGTTCACAGTATTCTGCATCCATCTGGGCCCTGCCTTACCACAGCAGCAGAAAATGCTCAGCTTTGGCAACCAAGGAGGTGGGAGGCAAGGCATTTCATATGCCATGTCACACCGTGGTTAAGAAGTTTGGAAATGGTGTCAGTGTATGTGCAGTATTCAAGCTGGCCTCCCTACCTATGCATTTGGCAGGTTTTCAACCTAAGTGAAAGGGTTGGCAGGCTCCAGTTACCGAAGACCAGGGACTCATTGGAAGTGCAGTCATTTTATTCACAGAAGACACCATGGAGATGCCTTTCCTGAGGCAGTGCCAGAGTATTCTGCGTGGGTGCGCCAGTAATACCCTGAACATGTTATCTGTGTTTGATTTGAACCCCCACCCCCCGCAAGGCTGTGTCTC